TAATTTTCCAGTTTTAAATTTATTATTATTCATTAAAAATACATAATTGATCAACTAATATGTAACGTGAAAGGAAATTTGTATAGTTAGATGATAATGAAAGTACTTTAAAACCAAGAATATTGTTTAACTGCGAATGCGGAAAAACACTACAATGCTCAACAAGTATTAAGTTTCATTTAGACATATGCCCTATAATGAAGGAAAACTACTCTGGTCTGATTAATGAGTTCTAATTGTTGATAAAACATTACTAACCAGACATATAGAATATCAAATCCATATTAAACTTTTTTGAAGATCAATTAGAAGAAGTTTATCGTCATGAGGAGTCTAAGAAAATCTAAAATGATCAGATACTCTAAATAAATCCAAGTTTTTAAAATAATAATAACATTAAGTTAGAAATTGAACTTCGAAGAAATATCAAAGATCATAACTAGAGTAAATTAGAAAATATTTAAGAAATAAAACATAATCAGCATAAAGAAAAAAATATAGTCCTTCAAACTCCTATGTTAATAAAAGAACTTCAATGTGACACTATTGAAAGTCCAAGTTAATGGAACGATTGAAATACAGAATCAGAGTGTGATTTATAATTTAATGAATCAATAGAAGAAATCAAGATACAATAAGAACAGCAGGATCCAATTATTTAATTACCTTAAGATTGTGCTTTTTGCTAGCTTAAGATAACTTAAAAAGAAATAGATGATTTATAATTTATTCCTATCTAATCAACTAAATGCAATTATTTGATCCATCGAGAATGTTTGAGGTAAACTGATACTTTCTATTTGTAAATATAAACTTCTGTTATTAATTATTTTAGAGAAAGTGACTTCAGAATTTATTAAGACAGCAGATTTTGTTGCAAATTTATATTCAATGAAACTGATCTATTATAATATGTGCTTCCTTATTCTGAATTTTTAATTTCTTAGAATAATATACAGGATAAAAAGATAGTTTTATTTGGAAATTCAGAGAAACTGATTTCTAATTAATCGGAAGATGAAATTAACCAGGAAAAACATGGAAATTTAGAATTATATCTTGAAGGATTAGATGAAGAAGTTCTAGGAATTTATAAATATATAATGAGCAAATAAAGAAACTTGCTTCAACTAGATGATTCAAATAGGAAATTATTTAAATTTATATACAACGAACATTCAGGACCAAAAGCATTTTAGTTTAAATTAAAATTTCATAGTAATTAAGATAGTTCAACAATAGATATTTGTAAAATCTCAATCTTCTTAAACTTGTATAGATAATATTGTTCAATGCAATTGTGGAAAAATAATAATTTATAAACAAGATGTTTTTCATGTAATCTGGAAAGGTTTTTCTGGAATTAATTATAAAGCTGCACATTAAGCTAAGAATGTGTATGTACAGATGGTAAAGTATTGTTTTAGATGTAAGGAGTGTGAATTTTAATTTTGTTCATTTTGCAAAGGAATTCCTTATCATTTCTAATAGACTTGTGAAGAATATAAAATGTTTAAAACTCCCATTAAATGCAGATTTTGCAAAGTGCAGCTGACCAACATTTCTCCTTAAGATTTTCCCGCATTTTAAGACCTTTGCTAAGGCTTAAAATGTTATGAATTATCAGAAGAATCATGCGATAAAATTCATTCTGAATGTAACCATGCATGCTGTGGCTTCAAGAATGAATAAATTTGTCTGCCATGTTTAAATTCTGATTGTGTAAAAAGTGACCCTAATAAAACTTTAGGATGTAATGGCAATGATAATTGCTTGATGTGTGGAACAGAACTAGATTCAAAACATTGTATCTAGTTAGAATGCAAGCACATCTTTCACTTGGGTTGTGTGAATGAAAGAGTAAAATTGAGATGGAATGACAGTATCAATGGCATTAATTTTAAGTATCTTGAATGCCCTACTTGCAAATAAGAAATGAGTACATCGTAAAACAAAGAATTAAATAAAATACTCGAAAGACATCTTCAATTTAAAGAATTAACTAAGAAGAAAATGCTACTAAGAGCTGAAAAAGAGAAATTAAACTAAGATCCATTATTCACTGATCCAATAAGTATCTTCTATAATAATCTTTATGCACTTGCATTCTATTGATATTGTTACATTGAGTGTTATTTTTGTAAAAATCCTTTCTATGGAGGGTAAAGATGTAATATTTTAGACTTAAATAAACCTCTATATTATAATGAAACAATAACTGATTTCTAGAGCTTAATTATGCTTATCGCTAGTTAGGATTCATGCAAAAAGCATGGTTAAAGGCATGTCATTTTTAAATGCTAAGATTGTTGTGATATTCAAAATAATTTTGATAATCAAATAAGGGATTAATAAGTTTGCTAGTGTCATAATTTAGAAGAATTAGAAGTTGATTAAGTTTGTTAAGGGGGCTAATGTTGTCCTCTATTTATCGAAAATATACTTAATGGACTAAACTTTAAATTTGGATGTTCAATTTGCAAATGGAATATTAATGTAAAAGTGAAAGAAGGTGATTCAAATTTGAAAATAGTTGAAGATAATAATTAAAGAGGAGATAATAGTGATGAAGAATCTTAAGAAGATTATGAGGATGAAGAAGAAGATGATGAAGAAGGAGAAGATGAAGAAGGAGAAAATGAAGAAGATGAATATATATATGAATATGATGATGAAGACGAGGAATCTGAAAACAAAATGAAGTTCAGCACAGTAGAGGAAACTGAAAGATAAAATGAAAATTCAAATAGTATAAATCAGCTAAGTATTTCGATATCAAGCTGTATATTTTAAGATTAATGATATTTAAAGATGATCAAATTAAAAATAATTTATTCTTTCTTACATAGTAATAAGTAAAATTAATATTTGTGGGGTTTTGGGGTTTTGGGGTTTTGGGG